AATGTAATTTTACGTTGAAAAGATTAATTAAATTCCTTTACCTTTACTGCACTCGCTTTCTGTGCACTTCAGTCTTCAGTGACATCAAATTCTTAACGCAAATAGGTCAAAGTCCTTTTGAATACATTGTTTGGAGAATTAAAGGTGATAGTAGGATTTCAAAAATCATCATTTAATTAAAAACATTTTGTCGAATGATATGTTATTTATTTACTTCTTCAATTTTTTTATTTTTTATTAATGTCGCGGTGGAGGTTTAAGATGTCCGCTTCTCAAGCATGAGGGTAGGGGTTCGAAACCTACCAACGGCAAGTACCAATGTGACTTTTTCCGAGTTATATGTACTTTCTAAGATTATTCAGACATCACTGACAAATGGTGAAGAAAAACATCGTGAGGAAAGCTGGGCTTATAATTTCTAATTATAAGTTTGTAATCGCCAACCCGCATTGAGCAAGCGTGGTGATTAATGCTCAAACCTTCTCCGTGTGAGAAGAGGCTTTGCTCAGCAGTGGGCATTTATAGGCTGTTGATGATGATGATGATATTTGTTAAAGATCATCTTATCCTTTTCGGTATAGTTTAATAATAGGTTTTTGTGCCTCTATTTACCGTTCAGGAAAGTTATAGTGATTATCGTTAACATACAAAGTTTTGTGTGAATTCGTCGAAGGTATAAAAATTTTAGTTCAATTAAGGATTTTTTAACATATACTTATTAAGAAACATACTAAGTATTAACATGCTTCTTTTGTTGATAAGTTTCAACTGTGTAATGTTAGTAATTCAGTAAAGAGCTTTACTCTTATAATATAATTATGTAACATATACGTAGGTGCTATACCTATCTACAATATAAATAACCATGTCCTCAAAATTTCCCAGAACGCAATATTACAAAATATCTATTCAGTACATCGCAACATTCTTAGAAGTTCGTTGTTCTGATCTATTAAATTGCTTCGTAAAGCTGGAACAACAATTTCACCGCTACTCGAGAGTGGGAAGCTAGCCGAGCGGCGTAGGTAGCTACCTTTATTGAGCGTCGCGTCGCCCGTCGCGAGTTCAAACCCCTCTGACACAAGTATAGCTTTTTGTGATATTCTGAATTTCTGTTAACAAGAATTAAGTGATGGAAATAATTTGATAACAAATAGAGTTTGAATTCATTGGCTGTGAAAACAAGTTGTCTATTCTTAATGGTTAGAAAGGTGGTTTACATTCCACAATTAATTAAAGTGCCACTTACGAAGTAAATATTAATTCCTTGGCAGTAAAAGGTGTGATAAATATCCTTGACCCATAATATGTAAGCTTAGTGAAAGTGACAAACATTGGTTGTATGATCCAAAGAAGTCTGTTACTGAAGCTGACATGAAAAGGTACTCATAGGAGTGGTTTCAAACAGCAAATATTGTAGAAAATAAAACATAAACATGAGAGTAGTAAAAGATAGGCTTCGTAGTAAATAAAAAGTATAAAATAGTACGCGCTTTTCCAGTGCATCGCACTGAAATATCACATTTCAATACTTTTATTTAGCATTAAAAGTACTTTTCCGAGGAAAAGTAATTAGGTACTTTTCTAATAATGCGGTGTTTTAAAATATAACTCTAATAAAGCCTTTTAAAGGTATATTGCAGTATAAATGTATAGTAACTATAACTATCCAACTGTATCAAAACTACTCAAATTAATGACAGGTTTCAGCTAAAATTAAACCGCAGCATGCTAGAAGCTCAATGCTATTACAAAATTAGTGATTGGATGGACAATAATTGATTTCAACAACACTAATTTCTCAATTGCATTGCAATTTAATACCATACTATTGACGTTACCAGCGGTATTTTAAAATTAGAAGTATGAAATTCAGACCACTAAGAAGTTATACATTGTACCTCTATTTATCAGATAAAAGGATGCTGTTCATAATGAATCTGTTTCATAAAATGATAGGTGCATTTATTTATGCTTTGCTTTGCAGCTGCGCGTGTCTTCTTTCTCTTCTTACTTCTTCTTTTCTTACACTTTAAATACTAAAGTAAGCTATCCCCTTTAGTGAAAAGAAGTTTTTTTATCTTTTTTTTAAGTCGTACCAGTTTCCATGGTATAATTTAAGTGTACTGAAGATGGGAGGTTATATAGTGAATAGACTCAATTTTTTCCTTTGACTACAAGCGGATGGGTGGTGGTAGCGGGTGGGAAACTAGTAAATCGTATTTACATAGCATCCTGTTACTTAATGCATACATTCGTTAACGTTGTTATTTTCAAACAGAGAAGAGAATTGTGTTATTCATGAAGTCTTTATACAGTACTTTAATATAACGCATTGGGTATGGGGAGTATAGTACAAAACCCGTACCTTTACCAAAAGCTTTTGCTCAAGGTACAGACGGAGGACAATAATACTTTGAAAATAATTCTCAAAGACGCTCTTACCAGTATTACTCCTGCTTTAGCGTGAGTTTGGCGGTCATTGACATTCGTTTTTCAGTACACCTTGCTCACTTGCACCAAGTGGGTGCTCGCAAAGAAATCACTTTATATTTTATTTCTAATTTTATTCGAAGACGCTTTTAAAATGGTTCTGCATTCTCTGTTGTGGTACTGTCCTGAATCCTTAGCGTACCATGGAGTAAGCTACTTAACTGCTTACATTGTAAACATTTGTTAGCAAATGCGATTCCATACAATTGTACTACTGCACAAGCGAAGATTATATTCCATTTATATTCTTAGAGATACTTTAGTATTGGTTAAGCGAAGCGAAGTACAAAGGACTTGACTTTGTTTGTATATTTAAACGAACTAATTGAATAAAGAATTAAGACGAAGTGGAGCATCAACTAAAAATTTTTGCAAAACAGGGAAAAACATCTATTTAGAACTTTCGTTGTATGCGTTGTTATACATAACCAGGTTTGACGGATATAGTTCTGTTTAAATCCTTTATAAAATGGTTCATAACAGAACTTGACAACCCTTTAGTGGCCTTTCACATAGTCCGGTTTTCGGCTAGCCAGTGTCGCTAATCCGGTGACCAATTTACTTTGTTATCTACTGGAACGTGTGACAGCTATATACGTTTCGTTACCGGTTTCCCCATATTGGCTTAGCTGACACCGGGGCATGTAAAATTGACCTTAACTGACTATCAATTGTCTAATAGTTGTCTAATAATCCTATATAGTCTTATATTAGGATTATTGTATGATTTTTTCCCACAAAAAAAAATACCTCTATGACATATGGTATGACAGAGCCTCCACAGAGATCTTTGATCTGGATCAATCTTAAGGTTTTTACTTTTCACAATGACTTTTATATAATGCAATATTTGCGAAGGTATTGTTTTGACAAAACTCGGCTGGCCATAGCTGACCAGGCTAAATGTGTTAGCCTGGCGCTAACACTAACACCTGCTCTGCATTAAGCATATCTACGGTATCATCATGAACAACTCGTGGTGACCGCTCCCTGCTGAAATACGAGCCTCTTCTACATAAGAGAGTTAGCTGTAATCTCCATGGTTGGCAGGCGGGACCTCATTAACCTTGCATCAAGAATATTTGCGGCGCGTCTGGCTTGTTTCTTCACTACAATGCGAAAGAGGTGTGCCTCCTTAGGGTATATTTGCCTCCTTATAGTAATGCTCACATCACGCTTTAATGTGCGCTATTATGCGCGAATACGCGCGTATCAATAAACGCGCGACTTTTTACATCTCTGAAGTAATGTGAGCATTACACTATGGAGATAAGGTTGCAAGTAATTAGATTATCGTTTCGATACACACTGAATTTGCTCCCATATTAATGTACATTTAGTGAGTAGAATAAAAGCTAGCTACAAGAATAAATTCTGTACTTATCTTTTAAAAAAAAAAAACTTTGCCCCACACTAGGATTTTCTCCTTTGTCGTGGGTGCGTTTACAAACATACAAGTACTTAAATATCATGCCAACTCTGTCGTTTACCTAACTGCACTATAAAGCGCGACTTAAAATTGAGTGTCATTTGAGTAATTAGACATATGTATATAACATTCTACTCACATGTAGTGGTAAAGTAGAGTAAAAGTTACATACTTTAACTTAACATTTTATTAAATTATTCTAGGTATATTATTTTTTAAACACCAGATTTATGTATAATGAATGAATAGGTAAATTGTAAAAGTTGAGTACGTCAGCTACTTCAGAGCATAGGACAGCGATGCTCTGAACAAAATCAGAGAAAAGCCGTTGAAATCTCCGAAATCCAACAGAGTGCATTGATTGATTGAAGTTTTTATCCTACTAATACGATGAATATGAAAGTCAGTGTTTGTTTGTTACTTCTTCGGGTCTAAACAGTTGTTTTCAAACGCTATTTGGTTTAAGCGCAGTTATTCATAAAGTTTTGAACTTGAGAACAGTTGTTTTGATCCGAAGCGAGTCTAAAAAGTCTACGTGTAATTCCTTCATTCTTGGTTTAGTAGAGGTATAATCTTGAGTCTGGTGGACTCGAATGTAGTCGATTTTTTATCCGGAATTAAAATAATTAAGAAAAAAATAAACAGTAACTTCTTAATAAATAATTAAATGTTAACTCTCTCAATCTGTGTTTCGTAACATCTCGACGGTTTCCGATCTTTGGCAAAACTTCCAGTTTCGGTCGGATTTTGGGCACTTTCCGGGTTTCGCCAATTATGGATGGTTTTGTTGACCGCAGGTAGCTGAATCCGAAGAATCGGTCGGCCACTGCTAATAAATAATAAAACAAATGATTTCCACCAATAAATCTATGAAAGTATCTAAACCTAACGACACTAGATACCATTATTATTCCAGTATTTTTCTAGCTATTATAGAAATTAGTGATCCATCTTCAGTGTTTATATAATTTCTATTATTTTTGTTGACAGACCTGAAACGACGACTTGGTTTTTAGTCTCGAGAAGAAGAGCTCGACAGATAAACAACAGCCTCAATGTAGCTAATGGTGTGGGTACCATGAGTTCGAGGACTGGTGCAGTTTCGGATATACATTACACCACCCCTGGGACTAACATCAACAATCATAGTTCTGGGTTGTTAGACTTCCGGAATGCAAACCAACCACCACACCAGTATCCTATGCAAAATTTACAAGCTCAACACCCACTGCCACCAGGCAATTATGCGCCAATGTATGGGGCCCTACCACCTAATTACTACCAGTCCCAACAACCTCTCCGGCCTAATCCGGTGTACCATCCTTCTTATAGTAAGTATTAGAATTGATCATTAAATTTTGCTACACCATTTTATTTGAAACACCGTTCTTATTGTGCAGAATTTTTCAAATTAACCAAATTTAATATTAATGTAGTCCAATCTAGGGAGTTCAAATTCAAATCTTTAAGAAAAACAGTGATTCAACTAACAAAGTTTTAATATCAATCACATCAACAAACCTTCAAAAAGAAAATGCCTACAGCATTAAGTCCGCCAATTTTACTGTATGTGCAATGAAGTTTAATAAATACATAAATATAGCTATTGTATTATACAGGACGTTTTTAAACACTAAGGCCCTGACTACATTATTGCGGTTGAATTCCGTCGCAGTTACGCGCTTGTGTGGCCGGGGCTTCAAACGGCACAGCATTGAATTACCAACTAACATACTGAGCAACAATTCATTTCTACGACTTTTAAACTTCAAATGGACATAGACGTTGATTAAAGACGATTCATTTCAAAATAACTTATTATTTTTGCTATCGGGAAAGACTCCTAAGTCTTTACTTAACTATCTATAGTTATACACTTGCATATTGCATACCTATATATTATTTCTTGACGATTTACGATTTGTTTACAGGTGGCTATGCACCCTATTCATCTGGTATTCCAGCAACTTACATTCAAGAAACCTACAGGCAAGTAGTTATTACTACAGCTGCTTTATGTCCGAACTTTCACTTAAAGATAAACCTTTAAAAAAGCCTGTGGTGTTACGGCAACTATCCATGTTGCATCAGTAAACGGCTTCAAGCATCGATCACAGACAGCTTATCGCCTTAAATCCGGTTCGATTCCCACATGGAACAGTTCTTGGTGTAATGTTAAATTACTATTTTGCGTCAAGATGGGATGTTTATGTGTATTTCTATATTTCAAAACGCACTTACATCACGAGAAAACATAGTTTGTGTACTATGTTAAACAATATTCATAATTTTTACTACACAGGGGTACCGAGCCTTCGTCACTTCCTCCGTTGGCACACCACCAGCTTGCCCAGTATCAGCAGCCCGCCGACTATACGGAGCAAACGTAATGACTACTATTCTGATCTTTTCATTAATTTTATTTGTAAGTCATATAAAATAGTGCTATGAAAGCAATACATACATTCGTATTAAATCAAAAAACTCGTAAGTGATGAAACTGATAAATACATTTATAAAATAATATTGCAGTTAAAAATAGATATAAGGTGTCTTAATACCAAATGAAAAGTCATCAGATACGTCTACTTACAACAACTTGTTTAAGAGTTTAGTTGACTCTGAACTTCTGAAGGTATACACCACTAGCTTTGACCAACATTTACCGCATTAAAAGTCAACTCAATAAAAAACATCAGGTTACTTGCACAGTAACACCCCATTAGGATTTTTTTATTTCGTTTTTGTTTGGCCAATATATGTAATGTAATATTGCCGCTATCCACCTTAAAGTAACCTTAAAATTATGTCCTCAAAAGCAAAGTTTGGAAACACCTTTAAGACTATAAATTAGTTTTGATAATTATAATGATTAATGAAATTCAAAAACAATTAAGCTTCACTTACATCTGGCATCTATACAATACTACAATTAAATTACGTTCCGTTTAAGAACTTTCACCATCACTACAGCTAGTGTGAAAGATTTAAGTATATAAGTAACATTCGATTTTGCATTTGATAAATTATTTTCTGTTATGAAATAAAGTATTACTTTTTAAGATTAATAAATACATTTTCTGTGCAGCTTACAGGAGAGATATGAAAACTTAAGAACAGGATTTAGTGGGAGCTGCGAGCAGACCTGTGCATTAGATCTGACTTCTAGACATAATGAGGTATCACTAGGTATGTAGTGGCTTGAAATACCCAAAACTCTCACAGTTTACTCTTTCTGATGGACAACATAATATAACAGGTTAGCATTAGTACGTAGAGTGACCGCTAGCTTTACGCATTTGTCATTGCGTGCGTCGTGCACGGGTCTTAGGGGATTATTTTAATGTAAATATTTTGTAAGTTGCCCGACCAATTTAGGGTCGAAAATCCCTTATCTCTTCTTAGTGAAAGAGACATAAAATATGAACTTTTCAAATTGCCATGTTACAATCAGCTAACTTTAAAAGACCTAGTTCGGCCTAATCATTCAATTAAATGAAGTCATTTCGTCAACATTATCAGATTCAACTAGATGACTGAAGTGTTTATTTTAGAATTTATTTTATTTTATTCTTCATATACACATTTGCATATCGGAAGACTTAATGCAGGTAACAGTATTTTCTACATGTTATGTTTTGGGTAGTGCATAAATGTAACAAGGTGGAAGGTAAGTAATAGGTATAAATGGGGATATAAAAAAATGTAAGAAATAAATATTGTTCACAGGTACCCCACAGTATGCACAAAGTTCTATGCAACATCCTCAAAACCTTTTGTATGTATATCGATCGCTTATAAATATATTAAATCAATTGCAAGATATATTTATGTACCCGCTCGAAAATATTTAACAAGTTTAGTTCTTAATAAATTTTTTTCCTCTACAGCTTTACTGAGGCCGAAGTAGAGCTATTAAAGGAATTTATAAGGATGGTGAGATATATTGGCAACAGTGTCGAATATGTAAGAAAAATCAATGAGGCTGTTGGAGGTACGTGCAAATTAACAATTTTAATTTATAAGCATTACTTTAGTTAGTGCTTGTTTATTTTCGTATTCAAAAAGTAACCAGCAGCTGTAGCCAAATGCCATTTAGCGTTTGAGGTATTGAATTGACGTATATTTTTACACTTGTCAGTGTCATCCCCATACATTTTGATTTCTAATCTCTCTGTAGACAAGCGCTAAAGTGGCGTTTGGCTAAAGGCCCAGGGATAGTCGCTAAGAAATTATTGAAGCTCTAATATATCAATGGTGTATTTATGTGTGCGTATATTTGCAACATTGTAATGTATGCAATGTAATTACAGATGATGATGAAACACAGATGTCCTTTGTGTCAATGTGTGTGTATTCTGCTTGTCTATAGTAGCCAGGTGCCACAGTCGTTGTTTCAAGAGGCTGTGTCCACCTTTTCTCAACACCCTTATAGGCAACTTTAGTGTAGATATCGCTGGGTGCGATGAAGTCGGTGGTGGAACTACGAATCGATCACAGCGCGCACCGTGGCAAAAAAAGGAACATTTGGATCGACGAAATCAATTGTTATCCTGTTATTTTCGTTTATGGTTGAAAAGAAATATTTTTGTTGCTCGGAAACTAGTTTTTATAATTACATTTGTTTACTTCTCTTCTTACACCTCGTGAAGTCAACCTTGAGAAAATCCGTGTGTACTATTTGTAATTATTTCATTGTGTCAGCGTAGACGGATAATACAAAAGATCAAAGATATCGATTAGAATTTCGGTAAATTACGGTACATCACTGAAACTTTTATTTTATTTACTTATTCTTTATAATGACATCTCAATGTCCGCCGTGATTGTAATGGCCAGTTGGCGCTGTCGTCGTGTTTCATTCGCACCCAGCTAATACTATGTGAGATTTTTTTTTAGTTCAAATATTTTATGACATTTATCTACATGTAAATTGGTAAAATTGATTGATAGGATAGAGTCACAGCGTGATCAGGGAAATGTTTCCATTTTTCTTTTTCTTTAAAAAATTTAGTATTTTTTTCTTGTGACCGCGAGTGCGTTTACTTAATTTTACATACATATGACATCCGGGCCCCAAACAACAGTTTTTGGATCACATATTGAATATATATTGTTTATTGAATTGTTCCGTGCAATCAATAAATTATGCAAGTGAAAGTGGTTAGTGCAAGTCAAATAATTAGTGATAATATTGCATTATTGCCCTCGATTTTTCAATAAGAATATTATAGATCTGACACACTTATACATTGGCTATTTGCCTTAGAATTTTATTGAGGATATTAGCCTCAATAAAAATTCTTTAAAAATGTCTGTATTTCTATTACATTAATTTATTCACAGCATTACACTCCATTACTAAATCCCCAGCGGTCCCGAAAATCAGTGCTCGGTAATTTAGCTAACAAATCAGGACTAATTTCATCTCAATCGCTTAAATTATATTACCCTCATGTACAAATACTTACGCCAAGTAATTTTAAGTCACGCTTAAGTATAGTTCTGTTTCTGCAATTTCTTTGTAATAAACAGAGATGGCACGATATTTAAATACAAATTAAAATTTAGTAGCCTCTCATATATAAATATCAATTTAACTAAACACATCAACTATGTCCAGGGATATTACAAGAAAGATTTCTTAACTTAAAAAATATTTAATGAATATAAAAGTTTCTAAAATAATATATAATATATTCACCTCTATTACTTCTTAAAAAATTCAAAAAAAAAATAAAAACATTAACTCATTTTGAAACAAAAGAATATCGATTGTTCGAATTTGGCGGCCGAAAAGTTGGTTCGTGTTACAATAAAGCAGTAAAGTTTTAAAAAATTGTAAGAGATTACACATTTTCTATAACCTAATTTCAACGTGTTACATTTATTGTCACGTCAACACTTAACAAGGGAAGATCAGATTATAGAGGTAGCTGTTGGGAGGTGGCGCTATAGAACGCGTGGTTGCTAAACTCAGCAAACCGGTCAAAATGTAATCTCCCGGTTATGGTCACGATATCATGCTAAAAGCAATACTGCTGAACGGCATTCAGGCAGAAATCGCAGCACCAATCCTAGACAGGAATGTTTTCTTCAAAATATTGCTAGTGTACAACCCAATATTACGGTTTAAGTTGACAGCCATGTATTGATTAGGACCAAACTGTAAGAAGAAGATTACATGAAGCTGGTCTTCATTCTCGCAGACCTCTTTGCACAACTTTGCAGCGTGGCAATCGCGGGCGGAGACTATTGTGGGCTCGAAAACAATTCGCATGGAGTGACGAGCAATGGTCCATGGTGCTTTCTCTGATGAGTCTCGGTTTAAATTTCATCCGTATTCACAAAGATTAAGGGTTTGGCAAGTTCCTGGAAGATGAAGTCCATTCATATCAAGGCGGCACTAATATGGTATGGGCTGGTAGATATCGGTCGGCGTGAACCGATCTCATTTAGATAAGAGGAAACATTAATGAATTGGAATACCGCAATGTGGTAGTGGAGCCTATGATTATTTCACATATATATATAATAAGATATTATTTATCATATTGTCCTTGGATATGATGATGAATAGTAAATCTATAACCAAAGTTTAGTTGCTCTGAAAAGAGACAATTTTATTTTTTTACCTATTTACAAAATCTAGTTTTAAAACTTTTACAAAACATTCTTTAATAATAACTATGCATTTATTTTACCTGAAAAGAGAAACAACATTTAGAGCTATTGTTTCACCAGTTCTTATCAACTATTATTATTTATTTTTTTCTTCCTTTGGCAACTGAGTCTCCAACACGGTGTTGTCGACTATACTGCCAGTGTCGAGTGGTGACGGCAGATGAATGCACCGTCGACTTTTAACTTATCAATTATTATAATTACATTAAAAATCTTACTTGTACATGACAATTAACCATTTTACTTTTCATATATTTCACTGTCATTCAATATGACAGCTTACTCCACAGATTAGTTATTTCACAGATCAAAAAGTTATTACGCGGCAAATCCAAACTATACAAACTAAATGAAGTGTCACGCACTTTGTTTACATATAGAGGTATAGAATTTTATTGTAATAAGGTAAAAACGATGTACCTATCCCTACGCAATGTTGATGTGTGTACAATAACAGAACAATTTCTTTTTCTTTGATTGCTAATAACAATTATTATATGTCATTTTTATATTTAGAAGACAAACGGTATGAAAACGTCATCCGAATCGTTTGTCTATTACTTTTTTACGCTTATTGATTCATACGAAAACATAAAATCTATAAACCGCATGCAAAGCTGCAGGCATATAGTTGTAAATAAACTTAGAACTGGTTTCTACTTTGAGATATAATCTGAGGGGCACCATAATAGAGTAGAATAGAATAGATTATTTATTTCCTATGAATGTAGGTACAAATTATTAGATGTTACAACATTTTAAGGTCCCTTTGTTTGTACGTTCTAACTTAATTAACATGCAAATATACATTTTAAAAGAATTTATTAAAACTTATCATCCAAGAATTCTTGTACTGAATAATAAATAATACTTGTGCAAAAGTAATTCTGAAATATGCTTCTTAAATTTTGTTAGTCCTTGTTCTTTGATATTATTTGGTAAGTTATTATGAACAAGTGGTGCCATACAAATAACACTTTTCTGTAAAAGGGTAGTTTTAAAAACACCAGTGCTTAAAAGATAAGAAGAATAGAAAACTCAAACGTCAAAATGGACCCTAATAATGTGAATACATTTATAATCGTTTATACACAAAAATAGCCCTTATTAGATGAGTTCCGCATAAAAAAATACATCATCCGAATACTTTGAAGTCAAAAATACGAAATAATATTGATTATTAAATGCAATAATAAAAAAGTACATTAAAATGATATAAACCTATAATGTTTTTAAACGAAATCTGTTATCCTACGAAATAATGCAACAAGTTCATAATCAAATAGTCGTCTGTACAACACGGATGATTTAAAAAATCTGTTATCCTGGGCAAATACCGCCTGCTACATTTCGGAGATGTAGCTGGCGCCCGCCCTCAGGCACTTGCATGCCACAATAAGAAGTATTTTTTTATTTATATTTTTTTTTATATTTTATTTATTATAAGTAAGGAGCAAGTGACAAATATTTTTTTTTATTCAAAGATATTTATAATAATTTACCATGTGTGTCTAACGCACAACATGTAGCAGGTTCAATTCCCGCCCGGAACAACTCTTTGTGTGATTTACATATTGTTGCCCCGGGTCTGAGTGTCACATACTAGCCCTAATGGAGAGTATGAATGCATAACTTTATTTTATATTGTGTTGTATATTTTGGTAATATTTTTTTAATTATTTTTCTACTATCTGCATCAGTGCAGTGTGTCAATTAAGGATTTCCTTTTCGGTTTCTTTATACTAGCTGTTGTTCGCGACTTCGTCTGCATAGATTATGACTCCCGTTTGATTTCATGGGAGCATTTAAGCGGTATAAAAAGTCCTATACCTAAGTCCACACTGCTTGTATATAAAATGTCACCAAACTCTGTTTTGTAGTTTTAGCTTAATTGAAAGACAAACATCCAAATATTCCAAACAAAAAAACTTTAATATTTATAATACTAGTGTGATGTATAACGCCTTAGATAAATGACTATAATGTTGTACTATTACAATATATAAAACAATAAATGTTTATGTCAAATCGTATGTTTGTAAACGCACTCACGATACAAGAGAAAATCATTGTAGCCCTATGTGGCAACGATTATTAAGAAAATGTTAAATAAGTAAGTTTGTTTTTCTTTCTTTTCTCCTCTGTATAGATTTATAATTTGGAATTATCGAAGAATTCCATTAACCGACTGTCTAACAGACCGATATAAGATTGATTAGATACTCTTACTATAATATTAATATACTCTTTTAAACAATTTTTTAAACAAGTCATCTGATAGTATGCCATCGGCGCCACTCATAAACGCTTTCAAGATCAACTAAGAATTGGAAATGGAGAGTGGAATGGGTCTTAGACTAACAACAGGTAACAACCTATCACAAATAATGAAGATATCTAAGAAATGTATTATTTGTACACAGCTTCGTTCCCTCCACTGCCACCTGCAGTAGCTGCCCCAGCTGCACTACCACCACATCTTCCACCACCATTACGACCACCATCACCACTGGCCAATTACACCATGGCCATGGACACTCCTTATTTCCGACCTTCCATTGTCGACTATATTTATCACCAACAGATGGTTGGAGTCCCGACTATGATTTACCCGTTGCCACTGCATCAGCCGTAAGTACTTACAATTTTTGACAATGTTTTATAATTTAATTAAACTGTCAAACACCAAGCGGTCACCGGTGACCGCAACCTATTGTTCTATAATTGTGTCTGCAAAACCGGTACTCGACGAGTTAATAAAGGAAAACAAAAATCTAATCCGCAAATCATATATTTTTATTATTTTAATGGGATAAGTCGGTAAACATACCAACAGATCACCTGATGGTAAGCAATCGGTGTCGTCCATGGGCAACCCAGAACATCAAACGTGTTACAAGTTCGCTGTCGGCCTATTGGAGAATAGAACTTTGAGGATTTTAGGGGATTGGGGGATTCAGGAGATTAGAGAGGAAGGTGGGTGTAACTGTGGCTTCGGTATACTCGCTCACTCGATGAAACACAACGCAAGCGTTGTTTCACGTCTGTTTTCTGTATGGTCGTAGTATTACTCCGGTCGAGCCGGCCCATTCGTATCGAAGCATGGCTCTCCCACAACTAGAATTAGTTTGTTATTTATTAACTAGGCAGAAAAAAATATTCAATGGTTGTTATACACCTGTATCAATGTATAATGTCGTTGTCTTATTTTGTATTTTTTTTTCATTGTATAAATATAAAAATACGTATTCTCGCAGGAATCAAGCCCACATAGTTCACTTTCCCAAACGAAAACTAATTCTAATATTAACGCTGTTTATAACAAACAAGAATCTAATTTTATTAGAACTTAATTATATTTAAATATTTTCCATTAAATAAATCCTTAAGTCGTTTAAGATTTCATAATGATATTAATATTATAAATCAGTTAAACATTGTCACATTAAGTGAACTGTAACAAAAATGACTTGGGATGATTACCATTACGACTTGGGATGATGGGGTTTGACAATATATTTTAGACTTTCTTTGTATATAACCACGACTTTTTCTGCGCAGAACCCCAGCTACAGCCACTGTTACGGGACCGACTGCATCAAGACCAGTAGATATCAGCCAGCAGCTACCATCCAGTTTACCAGTACCTCAGTCTTCAAGAAGAACTATTCGTGGCTATGATTATCATGACCGTAGATATCATCCGGCTAGACCACCAGCCGCCGTCCGAAGACAGATGCAACCCCCTCCACCACCACCACCACCCCCTCCTCCCCCACCTCCCCCACCTCCCCCAGTACCAGAACCATCACAAGAAGTACAGGCTCCCCAAAGAAAAGACCGCCATCGGCTTCACCGTCGGCCTTCTTATAAACCATATGACGCCAACGCCAGACTTTTATATGACCCCCGATTACCTTTTAATATGGTCGCACCTCGAGACGTCCCCTTACCGCAGAGCTCGCCACCACCTCCTATTCCACAAAGTGCTCAGCTATTACAAAATCCGCCTCAACCAAATGAACATAGACCACGGACCAACTACGACGGCTAAAACAGAAGTAAGTTATAACCTCTTTTGCTATGTTATTATTAGAGACCTGACATACATATTGATGTGATTAAATAATATCGTTATAGTATAGATTAATAGATTGCCTTATACAATAAATGTAGTGACTCCTCTTATTTTATCTTGAAGGCAAATCTACCAGTGTTGCACGATACAGTAACAAGGAAAGCATAAAAAGTTTTGTTGCACAAAAATGCGTCTTATTTCTCACAGAGAGTTTTTTAACAGCGACGAAAAGAACATAAAATAGCACCTGAGAAAATCCAATGACAAGTCATTAGTTCAAAAGGAAATAATATTTTTAAGTTCTTATTAGTAACGTCAGGGAAATGAATCCCCAAATATGTTTATAGGCTATAACATCAGATGTTATAACGAACAGGTGAGCCTTTTGCCAAACCAATTTGAACCCTATTCTATTAAAAATTGTTTTAAATGACCCACTCGTTACTCTGGTGATAATTTACAATGCTTTTAAAACCCTTTGTAATGTCATACAACGGAACAAAAAAATATTGACATTGATTGAAAAGTGCAAAGCACGGGTTAAATGTATTAAAAATACGTCAATGCGTTTTAAGTAATTAATAATAATTCTTTTATAAACTAAGATGAAAAATTTGAATGCAACTCCCTCTTTTTTGAACACGGATTAATATACAAAAATCTTCTGATACGTGTAATAAACATTTTTATGAAAACCGCATCAAAATCGCAGCAGCAGCACCTACAGGTCAAACGAAAATCATCTTTTTCCAAGTCGGATTAAAAATTTTATTGCTATAACAGTTGTGACAGTCCACTGACGGACTATGGGCATCCTCTAAATTCTCTATGAAACCGTAGATTATTAAAAAGATGATGTTTAAAAAAATTGCTACTGCTTATTCTCCTTGTGATACCCACGTGAAGGGGCAGCAACAAATATATTCGAATAATGGTACTATACCTGTCAACACACGGCTTTAGGTGCGTCCTGGAATTTCGAAATTAACTTTTAAAATAGCTTTGGTCTTCCTCAACCTACTATTTCATATGAAATATATCAATAACTGTAATTAAAAAAAATCCACGAAAAAAAATCCAATTTTCTTCTGTATCATTTCGTTTAATTTTAATATCAATGCGAAACCATATTTTATTCATCATAAGTATCGTTTTCACACTAATTTAGTGTATCACTAAACCTAAAATCAATTGAGTATGTAGTACTAAACGCACGCTGAACCAGAGCGACCACGGGTGCGGTGGCAAAATATCAAACATATGTCACGACATCCCGCTAACTTACTCCGCACCTTCGAATATTTGTGACCCACCACTATCTATGAACACTTGTTATTTCACGACCGCACACGCGCTCGTCAGTCAGCGTATCTACTCGATGTAGCAGACAATTCACACATATTATGTTATACATTAAAATTCACGTGACAAATATTGGCTATCTAGTGTCCAGACATTGAGACGCAGGCTCTTATAGACCCAACAAAAATAATATCGGTACGACCGAAGTCACTTAGTTGTTGTCAACAATGTAATTGATTAAAAAGTTTGAAACGTTTATTTGATTCTGTGGAAGTGACATTATTCGACCCGAGAATCAAGCTCCTGATTCGATTGCTAGTCGCACTTGCAATAGGGTAGATGCCTAATTTTTATTTTATTGTCCGTCTGGTAGATAATTTTCAATCATTAGTCACGTATTTTTTATTTTCTTACAGAAACAAATACTTTCGATGATATATTGATGCGTGACGTCACTTCTATGTACCTACATTTTATACGTAGAAATAACGTTTAAGTCCCCACTCCTAAACTTTGATTCGTTTTATCTAAGTATTGTTTTATTATACTTACGACAAAATAAGAAAATACGGGACTAATTAGATTTTTAATTTTTATATCCCGTCATCGTCTCCATAACTAGATTCTCAACGATCGAAGAATTCATTTAGATTAAATCATGACCACAAATATTAGTAGCTTAATCCGACAGTTGCAGATAGTAATGGCGGCCAAATTCTATGCATAAGCTGACGTCCATTAGGTACGTAAGCGGTTCCAAACCAGAAATCTCAGCTCTATTTGTACTAAAATTAACAGCTATTTTCTGAATAGATGAGTTAGTGTACAATTCTGTGTGTTATTAGTTTATCATCCTATTATTCTATTCGTCGAAATACTGAATTCATTAATGATAAAATAAATATTCACGTTCATCTATTTTCCCAGTATTTACGTAATGTTAATGTAATTGTACATACGTGCATAATATTATGTTATTGTGTTCATCTGATCCCCGTAATTTCTAACAATTAATAAATTCATGATAATTTATGCAATACACGTCATACCTACCGATGTTAACGTTTATTTACTTATTGGAATTAAACGATAAGCCTCAGCGTCAAAGTTTTGAATGTCTACGACCAGCTGCTTCAACACCATAAAAATATGTACCAAATTCAAATGACAATAATTTCTCGTTTCGTACTTTTTAGATCGTAAATTCTCTGTAGATGAATTTTTGAACTTCATTTTCAGTTCCATACATACATAACCTCATACCTTTCTCCCATGGGGGTAGGCCTAGAAACTAATTTAGGCAGAGGCCTACACTAGAGTCTACTATGGAACGCCAATTGCTACTATTCATACCTCTTTCACTTCATCAGTAGTATTTTTAGTTATAACGATATAAGGTCCGCGATAGTAAAGAACGGTCATATTTTATCCCAAGAAAATCTCCTGTTTAGAAATATTTTCCTCTGTACGGTGAACAATGTACTTACGACTGCTGTGCAAGATTTTATGAAGATTTTCAAAGGTTTCCGCTTTCCGGTACTTTGCGAACCAATCTTCTCTGTTAACGTAAATCACAAATGTGGTATTTGAAAATAGACTCACACTCAGTTGCAATCAAAACAATATATTGTTCATCAGTATTCTGAATTTCAATTCTCAAGTGGAAAAGAATTTTTTTTTAATAAAAGTAATTATATTTTTAACCGACTTCAAAAAAGAAGGTTTGCGTTTGACCTGTAGATATGTTTGTTGGTTCTCAATTCGACCGTTTTATGCTTTTTTATGTTTGTTCGCCGATATCTCCGTTAATCTGAAACAAAAGGAGAAATATAAAGCCATTGTGCAGCTGTCCAAATTTAGTCATAAGTTGAACATTTGCAAAAATCCTTTATCAAATGAGTCGATAGATTCATAAATTGTGTAATAATAATAATTATTAATCATTTAAAAAAATTATATGTATTTGATATGAGGTACCTACTCATAAATTACGGGTGCAGACTGGCTGCGGGAGATAATTAATCCCTACTCATTATTTAACGCAAAAGTACATTTTATTTAGTCTTTCTTTCAACAGAGCGTTATTTGTTATGTTTTTGGTGTCTCTTGAGTTGATAACCGGAGGGTGACATAGACTTGCTTATTTTGCCTTTAACCAATGGTGTGAAGCCGCAAGCAAAAAGCTTAGTACTTTACTCAAATAAGTAAATAAAGAAAATAACAAAACATTAACCACGTTTTCCTCCAAGTTAACAAAGAGACAGGTGCATTTATTTGTCCCCAAGTCTGTGACGAAATAAGAAAAAGTCTGTTTAATCCCCAAATGGGTTGGGAATACATACATCATGCAATGTTACACTCGCTGTCAACGTCGGCGTCGCATCGTGGCTCAGCTTATTATCACACAGAACATTTGTGCACTACGTACTGACAATTTCATAAATTTTATTTTATATCTAAGATGAAAGACTCATACAACACGATAACTACACTGTATCATTTATACAAATAATTACTAAACTGT